TCCATCTGGTGAGGTCCATGTATATAGCTGTCTTTTACACTGTTGAAAATATATATTTGCAATGAAGTCACTGGTCTTGCAAAATTCTATCATGTGATCTCCAGCATCGTTTCAATCAACAAGGCCATATTTTCCAACTACTGATTCTTCCTGTTTCCAAGCTTTACATTTCAATTGCCAGTAACTATCAATACATCTTGATTGTATATTTGATCAATTTCAGACTGAAAAAGTTGGTAGAATTCTTCAATTTCATCATCACTGGCTTTAGTGATTGGTGTGTAGATTTAAATAATAGTTACTGGTTGTCTTTGTAGCATATGGATATTAACCTATTACAGACAGCATTGTCTTCAAGATAGATCTTGAAATGCTCTTTTTGATGATGAATGTGACACCATTCCTCTTTTATTTGTCATTCTTGGCATAGTAACCAATGTGATTGTCAGATTCAAAATGGCCAACATCAGTCCATTTCAGTTCATCAATGTTTAGGATATCAATGTTTATGTGTTTCATTTCATTTTTGACAACTTCCAATTTTCCTAGATTCATACTTCGTACATTCTATGTTCCAATTATTAATGCATGTTTACAGCTGTTTCTCTTCATTTTGAATTGTATCCCATAAACAGATGACGGTCCTGAAAGCTTTACTTCATTTACATCATCATAGTCAACTATACTTTGAAGGGACAGCTCTTCCCAGTCATATTTTTAGTGCCTTCCAACCTTAGCGTCTCATCTCCCAGCATTATATCTGACAATATTCTAGTCTTCATCATATTTCAATATTCAATATTTTGGTGCAATCTAACAGTGTTCCACTGCTGTCCAGAAGGTTTCCAGTGACTAAATATTTGGAAGTAGTCTGTCTCCCCTTTTTCCTAGTCTGTCTTGGTCAGGAAGCTCATCTGATGTCTGTCCACCATGGGTGACTCTGCTGGTATTTAAAATACTGGTGGCATAGCTTTCAGAATCATAGAAACATGCAAGTCACCACAGTACAACAAAATGACAGATAAGTGGTAGCCTTATTTATTGGCCCTGCTAAAAATTATTCCTGAGTAAACCAGTATTACCAAAATAGACTGGAAACAATCAAACCAAACCCAAGCCAACTTCACTACCATAGAGTCAACTGCAAGTCGTAGTGGTCACACAGGACAGAGTAGAACTTCTCCATAAGGAGAATCTTTATAAAAGCAGATTGCCTTGATTGAACCTCAGCATAGTAATCCTGCTTGGTCACCTTAGAGCAGGTGGTGGGCTGGCAACGTCTTGCGTAGGGTCCCCAGCCGATCTCCTCCCTCCCTGCCTTCCT